CTTGGCCATTTGCATTGACATAGCAACCTTGTGAGCTTAGCCAAAGTCCTCCTACTCATCTCCATCATTGATTCATCATCTTTGTGAGATTGGGAGAGAATCCAAGTGTATTGCTTGAGTGATTGCATCTAGAGGCACTTGGTATTCGTGTTCCGCTGTGGGATTCACTTGTTGCTCTTGGTGATTGCCACCACCTAGACGGCTTGGTGCAGCGGTGGAGGATTGGCACGAGTTGGTGATTGTTCGTGACCATCTTTGGTGATTGTGAGGGGATTTGTACCTTCCCCAGCGGAGCGCTGAAAGGTAACTCTAGTGAATTGCTCGTGTCATTAAGTTACCTCACTTGTGGGTAGGTTCTTGCGGTGTCCAATCATATGGACGAGGTTTGTGCAACACCTCTTAGCCGTCGAACCACCAAGTGTTGGTCGACACAACGGGGATGTAGCGTGTTGGCAAGCACGTGAACCTCAGGAGAAAATCGGTTGTCTCTTGTCATTTGGTATTTTCCCAGTGATTGGTTTAATATTCATCTTGTGATTGATTCACTTCTCTACACGGCGGTATAATCATCCTACTCACTCATTTATATTCTTGCAAACTAGTTGTGGCAAGCTCTTTAGTGTAATTAGAATTGAGAGCTTGCTTTGCTAATTAAGTTCATCTAGTGGAGCTCTTTAGAGTAACAAGGTTGAGAGCTTTTAGTGAGTAGTATCATAGCAAGTTGTGTGACTAGCAATCATTGCAACTAGAATTGTTGGATTGGTGGCTTGCAACCCTTGTAGAGCTAGAGCAAGTTTGCATTTCGCTATTTGTCATACTAATCAATTTGCTCTAGTTACTTTGTAGATTTTTAAATAGGCTATTCACCCCCCCTCTAGCCATATTAGGACCTTTCTTCCGGACTAACCGCTGGCGATGATGGACGGTTTGGAGATGGGCGACGATGATGGGCGCTGTTGTGGCTGCCTGTGACACAATAGGAGGTCGTCGTCGTGCGCCGCGAGTCTTGGGAGGTCACGTGCACCAGTTGCCGATCTTGACTCGCACCAACTATGGCAAGTGGGTGGTGACCATGAAGGTCAAACCCAGAGCCCGACAACTCTGGAATGCCATTGACAAGGGCACCGACAATGAAGAAGACGACATGTTAGCGTTGGAGGCTATCCTCGCTGCTGTGCCAGCGGAGTACAGGGAGCCATTGGGGGCGAAGAACTTTGCTAAGAAGGTGTGGGAGGCCATGGCAGCGATGCACGTCGGCTCCGACCGTGCAAAGAAGGCGACGGCCCAGCTGCTGAAGCAGGAGTACGCCAACCTCAAGTTTAAGGATGGTGAGTCAGTAGAGAACTTCTCCCTCCGCCTGTAGTCGCTCATCAGCAAGCTGAGGAGCCACGATGTCACCATCGACGAAGAAGAGGCGGTCTCCAAGTATCTCCACTCCGTGCCGGTGAAGTACATCCTGATCGCTCTCTCCATAGAGACGATGATGTACTTGTCCACCCTCACCATTGAGGATGTCACCATCGATGAAGAAGCTGCGCGTGCTGCAGACTGATCATGGCGACAAATTCACTTCAGTGGAGTTCGCTGCGTACTGCGTGGATTAGGGTGTGGTGTGACACCACACCGCGCCATACTCGCCATAGCAGAATGGCCTGGTGGAGCGGCGGAACCAGACAGTGGTTGGCATGGCTCGATCCATGATGAAGGCCAAAAGCATGCCGGCAAAGTTCTAGGGAGAGGCGGTGACCACGGCGGTGTTCATCATCAACTGTGCGCCCACCAAGGCCCTAAAGGGCAAGATGCCGTTCGAGGCTTAGCATGGACGCAAGCCAAATGTGTCCTTCCTTAGGACATTTGGCTGCATCGGCCATGTGAAGAACACCAAGCCTCACCTCGGCAAGCTAGAAGACAGGAGCACGCCGATGGTGCTCCTGGGCAACGAGGAGGGTAACCAGGCGTACCAGCTCTATGACCCATGCGGAGGCAAGGTGGTTGTCTCATGCGATGTCGTGTTCGACGAGAAGGCAGCCTAGGACTGGGACAGTCTGGGCACGGGGGAAGCTGGCGGCTTCACTAGCACCTTCATCGTCGAGCACTTGGTCATCCACGGTGGTGGAGACACTAGAGAGGAGGTGCCGACCACTCCAGCAACAGAGCCGAGCACTCCTGGGGCGGTGCCGAGCACTCCAGGAGTGGTGTCGAGCGGTCCTGTAGTGGTGCCGACCACTTCAGGACAGGTGCCGAACTCTCCTGTAGTGGAGCTGAGAGGTCTTGTAGTGGTGTCGACCACTCCAAGACTGGTGCCGAGCACTCCTACAGTGGTGCCAACCACTCTAGGAGTGGTGATGAGCGGTCCAGGAGTAGTGCCAAGCACTGCAGCCGGGGTGCCGAGCACTCCAGGTGCTGTGCCGACCACTCCGACGGGATAGTGGACTCCATCGACATCGATCGAGTTCGCCTCACCTGCAAGCGACATCACCGAGTTCATGGATGTCTACCACGACGGTGAGGAGGTGAGGTTCCGCAGGCTGGACGACATCATCGGCGGCACGGGGCCCTCAGGCCTGGCGGGTCGGCTACTCAATGACCTAGAGCTGCTTCTCGTCAGTGAAGACGAACCACCCATGTTCGCGCTGGCCGAGCGCGATGCAAATTGGCGATGGACGATGCCGGAGGAGATGAAGGCGATCGAGGAAAACGAGACTTGGAAGCTCATCGATCCACCTCTAGGATGCCGTCCGATCGGCCTAAAGTGGGTGTACAAGGTCAAGTGGGACGAGCGCGGTGCCATTGTCAAGCACAAGGCGCGCCTCGTCGCCCGAGGCTTTGTCCAGCGTGAGGGCATCGACTTTGAGGAAGTCTTTGCACCGGTAGCGCGCATAGAGTCTATCCGACTGCTACTAGCTTTGGCAGCAGCGAAGGACTAGCGTGTCCATCACCTGGACATAAAATCGGCCTTCCTCAATGGCGAGCTGGCGGAGACGGTCTTCGTTAGGTAACCTCAGGGTTTTGCTATCAAGGGAGCGGAGCACAGGGTGCTCCGACTACGTAAGTTGCTCTACGCTCTATGGACTACATGGAATGCCAAGCTTGAGGCCACGCTGGGCAAGCTTGGGTTCACGCGGTGAGCAACCGAGCACGCGCTCTACACGTGGCAACGGGGAAGGAGGAGCTCATCATCGGCGTGTATGTGGACGACTTGATCATCACCGGCACACGTGCGGAGGACATCGATAGCTTCAAGCGCGAGATGAAGGCTCATTTTCGAATGAGCGATCTCGGTGCGCTCTCCTACTACCTCGGCATCGAGGTGAGACAGGGGAAGGAGGCGCTCACGCTCGGTCAGAGCACATACGCCTCGAAGCTGTTGGAGCGGAGCGGCATGGATGAGTGCAAGCCATGCGTGACTCCAATAGAGGAGCGGTTGAAGCTAACGAAGGCCAGTACCGCGGCGAAGGTAGATGCAATACTCTACCGGAGCATCATCGACGGTCTGTGCTACCTAGTCCATATGAGGCCGGACATTCCGTTTGCCGTGGGCTACGTCAGCCGCTTCATGGAGGATCCCCGAGAGGATCACTGGGCCGCGGTGAAGCGGCTGCTACGCTACGTCATGGGGACGGTGGATCAAGTGATCGTCTTCCCCAAGACCGGTGGAAGTGGGCTGCAGCTCACTGTGTTCAGAGTTGCAGACATGGCGGGGGACATTGACGGACGGCGGAGCACCTCTGGCGTGCTCGTCTTCCTCGGGTCGACTCCAATCTCATGGCTGTCGCTGAGACAGAAGGTGATGGCGCTGTCCATGTGCGAGGCAGAGTACGTGGCGGTGGCCACAACGGCGTGCCAAGCTGTATGGCTGCGCCAGCTGCTGGGCGAGCTGATCGGTGTGGAAGCTCACCCACCAGCACTGATGGTGGACAACCAGCCTGCCATCGCCCTCGAGAAGAATCTAGTTCTCCACGACTAGAGTAAGCACATCGACGTCAAGTTCCACTTCCTCAGGGACTGTGTCGATGGAGGGCAGATCGTCATTGAGTTCGTCGAAACTGGTCGGCAACTCGCGGACATCCTCACCAAGCCACTCGTCCGTCTTCAGTTCACGGAGCAGAAGAAGATGATCGGCATGCTGGAGGTTCTAGGGTTAGCAGCAGGATTAGAGGAAGAATTATAAAGTAATCTGCTGCTCTCTCTCTGTACACGCGGCAGGGGCAGACGCCGAAAGGGCTCCCCTGCTGCTGCACTGTAGCCGCGGCAGAGGCAGGCGTCGAAAGGATCCCCTGCCGCACTGTAGCCACACTAGGGGCAGACGCCAAAATCAGCCCTGCTGTCACATCTAGTCACTGTAGCAGCTTGGTATGTCTGTGTATGGGTAGAGTTGTATATATAGCTTCCCAGTGCAACTCAGTGAAGAAAGTTCAGTTTTGCCATCTCCTCTGCAGAGCTGCGGCCAACGCCGGTGCATGTACTGTATGTGTGCGCTCTGTTCTCCCTCCCTCTTCTACCTCCAGCCATAGTGTGTGTGCGAGAACGCCGGTGAACGGTCAGCTCACCCGTGCGAGAGATCTCAGAACCAACAAATAGGTGGTAGGATAATAAGTTGAAGGTGCATATAAACTATTAGCAAGTATAAACCTACTAATAGGACTAATAGTTAGCAGTCCTTCAATTAATAATTAGTATGTTCACTGGCAAGTCTGTTTAGATCCACCGGTACTCATTTTATCCGTTAATTTTAGTGTCAAGCACTCGAGAGCTGGAGAAAGAAAAATGGTAAGGGAAGTTACATTATAATTATATGATCCGAAAAAATTGATATAGCCTTTGGCCATTTGAGGGATCCAGTCCACTGTGACTGTAAAATTTGGAATTTCTTCCATTGCAAACCTTGATGTGTATAGTTGAACTTCAATCTGTCCTAGTACAAGTATCGGTAGTGAAAAGTCAAACCACGACCACGCACGCAAAATGCATCTCTGGACTTTCAGTCTCAGGCCATTCAATCAGGTGCCTGGTCCGAGCGGCCGCATGCGCACCCACGCGGCGCTGCTGCTGGGCACGCCGGCGTGCACCACGAACCACTTGTAGTATCCGGGCGGCGCCACCCCGGGCATCGGCGGCGCGGCGACCACGGCCTCGTAAACCCCGACGTCCAGCTCCGCCACCCTCCCCACGGCCAGCTCCACCACGGGCTGGTTCATCCCGAACGAGTGCGTCGCGAACGCCGGAGCCACCGCTGCCACCCGCACCACCTCCCCGCCCGCACCCGCACCCGCACCCGCACCTTCCGCCATCATCCCGGCGGGTATCTGAACTTCACGGCCGTCGCCTCGCCGTACCCGACCTCCGCGGGCGCGCGCTGTCGTGCCGCGGGTCCATGTACGGCGGCAGGAACGCCTCCAGGCTCAGCTCCGTCGGGTACGTCACGTTGGCGAACACGTACCCGACGTGCGGGTTGCTGCCGCCCACCAGCACGCGGCCGTACGTGTCCAGCGCCGCCGACGAGTGGTACATCCGCGGCACCGCCGACGCCGCCAGCGGCGACGACTGATCGAACCGCGACCCCAGCGGCGCGTCGGGCCTGTACAGCACGGGCCGCGTGACCGGGTCCCGCCCCAGCTCCCACCCGGCGCTGCCCGCCGCGGCCCCGTTCACGATCAGCACGTCGCCCGTGGGCAGCAGCACCATGTCGCCCATCACCCGGGCCATCGGCATCTCCTCGATCGCCCACACCACCGGGTCCGGGTCCGTCGGCGCGACGCGCGCGCAGGTCCGGTCGGCGGCCACGAACGTGCCGTTCCGCAGCGCCAGGTGGTACGCGCCCCGCGGTGCGCCGCCGCAGACCAGCACCTCGGCGTGCGCGGGCGCGTCGGGGCGGAGCGGGAGGAGCACGGACGAGCCCGACGACGGGTAGTTCCGCGGCACGCCGCCGGGGACGGGCGGGAGGCGGCGGGCAGCGGGGCGCGGTTGTAGGGGTCGAAGACGACGGCGCGGTCGTTGGCGAAGACGAAGACGGTGCCGTCGGGGGAGCAGGTGGAGGAACGGGTACAGGTTGTTCTCGGCGTCCGGCTCCGTCGTCTCGTCCAGGAACGGGAAGAACGTCAGCGCCGGCGCTGCGTCGGCGTGTGGGAAGTACTCGAGGTTGAACTGCCGCCGCCCGCCGAGGATGAGCACGCGGCCGTCGGGGAGGATCATGTCGGTGGCGTACCACCGCCGCGCGGCGAGGAACGAGGGGAGCTCGACCCAGCCCGTGGCCGGCGAGAAGAGCCGTGCGACGCGGTCGCCGCTGGAGAAGCCGCCGGTCTGGAGGAGCGTGCCGTTGGGGAGCAGCGCCCCGGACGAGCACCACGGGTTGGTGGCGAGCGGGTACGGGTGCAGCACGTTGGAGCGGACGTCCAGGAGCACCGAGTGCGCCGTGCAGTCGGCGCCGTCGACGGTGGCCGCGCACGGCGCCAGCGCGGCCAGCGAGATGTTGGAGGGGCCCGTGTCGGTGCGGTCGAACATGAGGACGAAGTCCCCGGGAGCAGCTGCATGTGCATCGCCGACACGCCGATGCTCGCGTGGAGGAGCTGCCATTCTCCCTGGGACGGGGCATCATCGGCGGCGGCGGCATTGGCAATGCAGCTGGCGATCAGGAGAAGGTGGAGAAGGGAGGATCTTGGCTTGGGCATGGCTGCTGAGCATGCACGCATGCGATCTTTAAGCCTTTTCATGCATCCCTGCAATGTGATAAGCTAAGGTAGGGTGTACAGAGTGTGTTGCATACTTGCATCGCATTGTGACGTTGTGTTGGTGGAGGGTTGGTACAGGGAAGGTTGTGGGGAAATGGGGAATACGCATTTCATGCTTGGAACCGGGTATGCGATTTAAATGATACAAACTTTTTGGACTCAACGGAATTAGGTGAATCTTGCAATTTTTGGACCTGCATTCATTCTGTTGACCAGTGAAAATATTCAGGTTTAGCTAATAATTAGCTGAATTTTTGCCAAAATCTGATCAAGAGGCCGACATAAAGAGGAAACTAATGATTAGGAGAAGTATGCACTTTTACACTGAAGGAAGAACTTGCGAGTTTGTTTGAACTCTAGACTAGACTAAAAGTTCAAATCTTGTCCAACTTTTTGACTGGTGCAATGTTGTTTTAGCCCTCACCGAAATAGGTGAATTTTGCCGAAATTCAGATGTTTCGGACCAAATCCTGGAAACCTCCTGAGGTAGAATCACCCAATTTATAAGAGCTCAATTATGATGGCCGGCATCTCGAGGATTAATAGCAGCTACGCACTTGAACTCTATAATCCGGTAGTCTGTTGAGGGTCGAAGGACCAGGATGACACCATCTATCGCAGTCTAGGATAGAGTACAACACATTGATACATAGGGTTACAATAGAAGTGGAGGCTATGTCCAGCGCGAGGACATCGACTTCAATGAAGTCTTTCTTATTTGTAGCGCGCATGGAGTCTATATCGATCGCTCTCGGCTTTGGCGGCGAAGTGAAGGATTGGCGCGTCCATCACCGGGACATAAAATCGGCCTTCCTCAATGGCGAGCTGGTGAAGACGGTTTTCGCCAGGTAACCTCCAGTTTTCATTGTTAAGGAGCGAGCACGGGATGCTCCGACCGCGCAAGTCGCTCGCTGCTGGCTCTGCAGCAGCCCGTGGCGTCGAACGCCAAGCTTGACGCCACGTTGGGCAAGTTTGGGTTCACGTGGTGTGCAACCGAGCACGTGCTCCACACGTGGCAACGGAGAAGGAGGAGCTCATCATCAGCGTGTATGTGGACGACTTGATCGCCACCGGTGCGCGTGCGGAGGACATCGACAGCTTCAAGCGCGAGATGGCGGCTCGTTTCGAATGAGCGATCTCAGCGCGCTCTCCTACTACCTCGGCATCGAGGTGACACGAAGGAAGAGGCGCGCGATGCCTCGAAGCTGTTGGAGCGGAGCTGCATGGCTGAGTGCAAGCCATGCGTGACTCCAATGGAGGAGCGGCTAAAGAAGATGAATGCCAGTACCGCGGTGAAGGTAGATGTAACACTCTACCGGAGCATCGTCAGCGGTCTGTGCTACCTAGTCCACACGAGGCCGGACATTCTGTTCTCCATGGGCTACGTCAGCCGCTTCATGTAGGATCCCCGAGAAGATCACCGGGCCACGGTGAAGCGGCTACTGCGCTACGTCAATGGGACGGTGGATCAGGTGATCGTCTTCCCTAGGATCGACGAAAGTGGGCTGTAGCTCACTGTGTTCAGCGATGCAGACACGACAGGGGACATCAACGGACGACGGAGCACCTCTGGCATGCTCGTCTTTCTCGGGTCGGCTCCAATCTCATGGCTGTCGCTGAAACAGAAGGTGGTGGCGCTGTCCACGTGCGTGGCAGAGTACGTGGCGGCGGCCACAGCGGCGTGCCAAGCTATGTGGCTGCGCCGGCTGCTGGGCGAGCTGACCGGTGTGGAAAGTCACCCACCAACACTGATGGTGGACAACTAGCCTGCCATCGTCCTCGCGAAGAATCCGGTTCTCCACGACCGGAGCAAGCACATCGACGTCAAGTTCCACTTCCTCAGGGACTGTGTCGATGGAGGGCAGATTGTCATCGAGTTCGTCGAAACTGGTCGGCAACTCGCGGACATCCTCACCAAGCCGCTCGGCCGTCTAGCGGTGAAGGACGGACGTGAGGCTTGGACTAAGGGACAAGGAGGCCGGGTGACCAGCCGCGGTGGCTGACAACTGGGGATATCGACAAGCGCAAGTGTACATGGAGGAGTGACCGTGTTGACCGAGTCAAGACGACGCACGTGCAAGTCGAGCGGAGGCGCTGGAAGACTTGGTGCCCGGGTGGTCGAGGACGGAGGTGACATGCGTCGAGTTGCGGGGGACGCGTATGGAATATGCTACTCGCGGACGGTTTGGTGGTTTGGGCCTCAAACCATCGGGCGGACGGTTTCCGGGTTTGGGTCTCAAAACCCGGGTGGAGGTTCCAAGGAGGAACGGGGTGGCACGTGGCGGAATTAGAGAGGTTACGTCGAGGCGAAGCAAATCTGTGCAGGAAGCGAGGCTGTCCGATCGATAGAAATCGGGTTGTACCATAATTTCGCCCTAAAATATCTAGGGGCACAAGTAGAATTGTGTAATAAGCCTATAAATAAGATGGGACTGCCGCCACTCAGTGTCACCTCTTGGACTTTTTCATTTCCTCGTTCTAGTCCCCCTCCTAGAGTTTGTTCTTGAGGTCCACAAAATCGAAATTTGTGTAAGCAGAGATTTTGAGTTGGGGATGGAGGCACGAATCCTCCAGTTGTCCTTCAGAATTCATCACTTGTGCCTGTGATTTTCATTTTGTTGCGTTGTTCGTTTTTCTCTATTTTCGTTCTTGGCTACGATCTGAATTTCTCATAGTTTGGGTCGATCACAGGGGATGATTTCTTGAGGATAGATTTGTAGCAATTTGAATTCCATCTTTGTAAATTTTTGGAACGAATGATGGAGATTTGGGTCGTTTTTCTTTTGATTTTCTGGTCGCTCTTTCTCCCTGTTCGTGCCTAGCAGAGGCACTGCTTTTCCTGTTCGTCTTTTGCGTGTGGGGAGACGAGCAACTGAGCACCAGCACCGTGCTCACCAGGCCCGAGCCGGTGCTCGCCCAGAGAGGCCGAAGGCCTGCGCCAAGCAGCAGGAGCCGCGTGCTCCCAGAGCCCGAGCGGCGCTCGCCCAGGTGGCCATCCTCTCGTCGGTCTCCTCCCTGTCTCTACTTCCTTCGGTGCGGTAGCTGTTTCCCTCCGTTCGGCTGTCGGTCCTGATCGTGCGGTGCACCGCTCGGCAGTGTCTGGTGCCCTTCGGTGGTGTCCGGTGCCTGTCAAAAGTGCCGGCCCAATTTCCAGTCTGGCAGGTTCGAATTTCCAGCCCTGTTTTTTTTTTCATCCGTGGTTTGCGCGTTTGTGCTCGGATTTAAGTTCCATTTTTTGCGTTGGTTTTCCATCGATTCAAGGAACTTATCTAAGTATTCTCGTCACCAGTTGGCATGGACATTTTAGATTTGGGAGCTTCTTTTGGTTTGCTTTGTTTGGCGGTGATTTGGGGACAGCGGCCAAATATTTCGAGAGAAATTTTACGGCTCCCATTCACCCCTCTCTGGTCACCGTTTTCGGTCCTTTATATTGCTAGTAATTTAAATATCTAAAAAAATAAAAGGAGCCTCGTTAGGAAGCTGCATTCTCATGGCACTGGCAGCATATATATATATATATATATATATATATATATATATATATATATATATATATATATATATATGAACATTTAGTTGGCAACCTACGTACATTTTCAGGCTCACAATGAATCCACAAGCCGGAATAAGCTGTATCATAACATTTGTTTTGTAACATGACGACTCACAACTTAATTATATGTACAAGGCTCTGTATTCTCAGGTGGTAACCTGCATCCACAGTAACACAGATTCGAATAAAAAAACTAATTCACATCACATCGCATTCTAGTCACCATGAATTTATTTGCAGTGTCCAACATCTGACTGCCTCACGACGACCCGCAGCGTAGTAATCGGCTCCATTGCTTCTTCTTCGGCCGAAGCGATGATAGCTCCAGCCTCCAAGGCTGCTTTTTGTCCATGCGGCACTCCACCTGCAGGCGAGGTCTTTTATGCATTCTATAATCGATAGTGCTAGAGACGTATGTAGTAATAATAATAGTCTTGGAGTAGCATGCATACTTTATTGTTACTCCCTCTGTTGTTCCACGATGAATTCCCTTCAAACTTGCTCCACTTTGTCCAATAACACCTCCTCTGTTTCATCCCCTGAAACGGACCGTCTAGTCAAGTAACCAGATATTCCAATAGCAAGAAAGGTGCTCAGTATATGCAACATATAAAGCATCAGTGTTGTGTTAATTTACCTGAAGCGTCTGGCAGAGGGGCTGATGTTTGTCTTGAAGCTGAAAGGATCTCTCGTGTACTTCACGTACCACTTCCTTTGAATGTTGTTGTCATCATCATCTGCATATGCCTTGACCTGTTTGATATGGCTGAATTTGTCCCACTCAAGACTAGATTTCCCTTTACCTATGGAAGCGAGCAGCGGGACGTCGCAGTCTACATGCAAATCCCTTGGGTTTACGTCCTTCAGGTATCCAGGGAGTGTTTTCATGTCGTAGTCCTCCAGTCCGACTTTCTGAAGTGCAGGCAAACCCTCTAGTACCTGCAACTCTGGGCACTCCATGATCGCGAGGTCCTGCAAATTTGGCAGATTGCTGATCCTCTCTAGTCCATGACATCCTCTCACCAAAATTTTCTCCACAGCGCTTGGGTGGTCATGATGGTGTGGTAGTAAGAACTCTGGCCCAACACGCTTGATGCCTGGGGCGTTTCTAATCTGTAGTAACTCCAAGCTGGGGAGCTGCCACAAGCCATCAGGTAGCTCTGTGCAATAAGGCAAGTCTTCCATGAATAGAATCCTCAAGCATCCAAGGGACACAATTGCTGTCGACGTCATCCACTGTGAAAGTCGTTGACCAAAGTACCCTTCGATTGCTAGAGTTTCTAAGCAAGGTG